AAGTTTGTACATCTCTCTTGGATCGAGAATTACTAACATTTTACGAAAAGAAATGAAACGCTTATTTCTCACGATCCACCCAGTAAAAGAGGTTTAAATTCGGTGGGAAATCAGCATTTGGTGATATCTTGCATCACAAATTAGAAGCTCATAACTATCATCGTTCTTGAGTTACAGTGACTCTTCTTTTCTGAAGCACTGTAATAGCCAGATACAAAAGAATTCTTTCTTTGATGGGTATCCTTTAATTTTAGGTGATAAAAAGTGCAATTTATACATAACGTAATCTATGCTTATGAGACTATTTAAGCATACTTTTTGTAACAGTACAATCTGACTTTCTTCTTCTCAAGCTGAAGATCTGTCAGAGTGAATATATAGATATAAGCTTGTATTCATTCTCTTGTGTTGTTACTCCAGGTGGCAGTGTGTATAAGTACAAGTATTTTACATTTTGTGCTTTCTTACAACAGCTGTTTTTTTCGTAAAATCAGCTTTGTTTGTAAAATCAAATCAAGTTCAAGCAAAGATCTGAAAAAAGGACAGAACAAATAGCCACATATACTTGAAAACGCGTATGGCTGAAAACTGTTCTTGAAGCAGTTATTCTGTAGCATACCGTTGTTGTCGTCTCGACATTTCATTTTAGCTAGATAATGTCAGATTGATTCTAGATCATTTCATGCTGTTTATATCCAGCACCCCGGTACTACTGAGTACATGCCGTGTGTCACCACCCGAACAGTTGTTATTCAAGATAATTTCGGAGGGAAGGTCTGTTAATCTTATTTTCGACCGTTTCATTGTGTTTTTCATGAAACACGCCGGAAATGAAATTACCGCTCTTTAGACGGTTACCATCTTTATTTTGGCAATGAACCAAATATCAGAGACATATATTGCACAAGATAAAACAACTAACTCGTTAAAAAGCCACATAAGACGAGGAATTAAGAGATTTTCCAAAGCCGGAGCGTAGGATAAGTTGGTTTGATATTCTAATATTTTTGACAAAATTTACATCTTACGTCCGATCCAGCACTTATGCTGTCTGACAAATTCAAAAATTTAGATCTTACTTCATGTCTTCCTATCTTCAAGTTGTATATATGTTACGGCCAAAACTGGAATTCCAGTTTTGACCAATATTCCTCTGGTCAAAAGTGGAATTCTAGTTTTGACTAGAGAAATATTGGTCAAAACTGGAATCTTGGAAATCTGAGATATTACAAGAGTGAAATGCAACTGTTATTTAAACTTGATAATCATGCTCTTAGTTTTTCTAGTAAAGACTGAAGACATGCTTGTACTGCTAATATGGTATATATACTCAAATCTTTACTAAATACTGATCTACTTAACCGCGAAAAGGTGGCATGATATCTCAGTAGTTTTTTCATTTTGTGTATTAATATATGTGCACTCAAATGCGAACATTTACTAGTAAGACAACAATCTGGTTCATTATGTACATGTGCGCTCATCTGAATAGTAGTAAAGAAATCTGATATGTATTTACAGAACTTTTCTGAGTTTCAACCCTAAAAAGATAGAATGAAAAAGAATACACCCGCAGCAGAAAATAGCTATATACATTCGTTTTTATCAATATCAATCAACATGTAGTGTTAGCAGTGTACCTGAAAAGAACATAATGTTTTTTTAAACCATATTCTTACATTTACCCTTTCTTGAATGGCATTTGGTGGAACAGGCGACCCCAGCCTTTTTACAAGGACAGTGTTTAGTGGCACATTGGCTTTTACAGTCACAACTAGCTCCATTTATTGCTCCACGGACATATAATTTCGAAGCTTCAATCAAAGACAGTTCCTTCTCTAAAAAAAATAAATTAAGCGACTTTAATTCGTTAGGACAGCTACTTGGTAGATCAATAAGACTTTCTATACCAAATTTGTCTTTCAAGAATCCGAATTGGCACGCTAAAAAAAATACATAATCGTCATCTTTCTTTTCTTTACTAACAACTAAGCATGATAAAATTTTTGAATCTGTATTTGTTCTGTCAACAGTATGAATTCACACTCCAACACAGTCATTTTTTTTATACATTTCTGCCAAATTATTTAGATGTTGATCACACGCTTTTCTTCGTTTATTAGCTGTTTCTAAATAATTATCTTGCGCTTTGCACCGAATATTTTCATGTCTTATTGGGTTATTTTCTGATGAATTATAGTTCATAAAAGATGAGGATGGCTGAGAAACACAATTAGTTTTTGAAATAGAATTAGTAGCAGGTGCTGTAGATATTGACTATAAATCTGATAGTACTACATTATTTTCGTTACTTAAACATGTAACTGGCTGAAAGTTAAATTATGTAAGTCAAAAAGTGTTGTTGATACTCGTTGTGGAGATGGAGCCGAATCAAAAGATATTAGATTTTCTGTTACTGGGTTATCATTAACAACCAACGGTTGTTGAAGTGAAACATGCAGAGCAGATGGTGATAAATCAAGAAGGCATTGAGAAGTAGATTGAGAGATACTAGCATTTAGAGGACTGGGTGAACATGTTACATTTGAATTATGAAGAGATTCTTGATGATCAATATTATCAATAATATTATCAATTGTCTTAGATGTACTAACAGAAATCTTTTTATCAACATCCTCTATCAACATCCTCCTGAATATTTTCAATCGATGAAGGTAAATGTTCTTCATCAACAATATCTTGATCTTTTACAATTTTCCAAAATTTAGAATCACCTCGAGGATGTTGACCAAGCATGATTTCGCGGGGCGTGGCTTTAGTAGTGTCAAATGTTCTTGTATTGAAGCCGTAAACTACAGGCAATAAACCTTCTGACCAATGTATTGTGTCATTTGTTTGTAACCACTTCCTAACGATAAACTTAAGACGCCATTTGCCCTTTCTATGCATCCTTGCGATTGTGGATGACGTGGACGACCACGAATAAAGCACAAATTAGGAAAAACTGTTTTTAGTTCTAAAATAACCTTAGCAACGAATTCTGATCCATTATCTTAATGTGATAAACGTGGGGGACCAAAAGTAAAAAATAACTGACGAAATTTTACAACTACTTCTTTAGCTTTTCTAATGGATAAGCCCAAGTGTGAAAAATGATCAATACAATGTAATATCCAACAATACACAACGTCTACAGAAACAACATCAGGTCTTGTTCTCATATCTATTAAATCAATTTGTAGACGTGTCATAACACCTAGTGATATGATAGGTTTCGAAACAACTGATTGTTTTAGTGGTTTTCCAAGTTGACACGGGAGACAATGCCTTAAGAATATTTCTACAACAGCTCTAGATACCCATGAATAATGTGAATTAATTTCGTTTAGAGTTTTAGTTCTACCACCATGTGATACATTTAAATGACATTCTTTCATTACAATAAAAAATGATTCGTAAATACACAGTGGTTTTTTATTTTTCGCACAACAAACAATATCAGTTCCAGCAATTTTTGAATTATAAAGTTTTTCCTAGCCCAAAATACAAACTTTGCAGGAACTGATTCCGAAGATGTACCTTTCTCTAATAGTAAACTTTTGAGTATTTTATCACATGTTCCTTTTCTTATGAATGTTTTCTCTCGATACTTTTCTTGTAATGAAGCAACATATTTTTCAACGTCATTAAAAAACCCTTTTTCAGAACCATCAGTCATACCAGGTGCGCAAGGAAGAGATGAAGTGTCTGTAGAAGACAACGTAGTAACAGATGATGAAGCAACAGCTGACATCCTAATTATTTAAAAGAATAGTTAAAACTTAATTACCTTTAAAGCTGAACAGGAACTTGTCGATAATACTTCAGTAATTAACGAAGTCGAAAATATTCAAAAAGGAAAGTAATAATCTTTAAGCAGAAGGATAAGATTCTTTATAAATACTCTTTACAAAACAGTTGCCAGTTAAAATGGTTGCTGATTACCGCCAAATACAACTCATTTATATAATCTCATCCAACAGTAACGGCGGGTGAGGAATTGATGATAAAATGTTCACAAGATGATCGCATGTAGCATCTAAATCTAATCAGACGAGAACAATTACATAAAAGACTTACGAGGGAAGTACCCCACCTGATAATCGACGATGCTGATTCCGAATATCACCATGAATGCTGTTGCTAGGCCTTCAAAGACCGGTCTTCTGGAAAATCAGTTTTCGAGAAACTCTAAAGGACAATCAAAAGCTTTATTAATGAGGCGTAATTGTAGTCCATACATTTCTGATTAAAACGAGGCATCTCCCAGCTCTACACGACCTTTCTTTGCAAAGTTATAGAGTTTACAAGAAAAGCCCTAAATGTTCATTGTCACCTCAGAGCTACAGAAAGAAAAACGAAAAATGA